CCATGTCAATGCTAATACTTTACAAAAGCGTTTTAAAATAACTAAGGAACAAGCTAGACATATAATAAAACAATGTCAAAATTGTGTGACCTTTTTACCACAAGTTAATCTTGGAGTCAATCCTAGAGGACTGATACCTAACCATATTTGGCAGATGGACGTCACACACTTGCCAGAATTTGGAAAATTAAAATATTTGCATGTTACAGTTGATACTTCTTCCGGATTTTTGATGGGCTCCCTTCATGACAGAGAAAAAACTAAAAATATTATAGCTCATTGCTTACAAAATTTTGCCACTGTGGGCGTTCCTAAACAGTTAAAAACAGATAAGGTCCTGGTTATACTTCTACCTCTTTTAAACAATTTTGCTCATCATTTGGCATTATTCATATAACAGGAATCCCATACAATCCACAGGGACAAGGCATAGTTGAAAGAGCTCATCAAACTATTAAAATGTACTTATTAAAGCAAAAAGAGGGAATTGGGAAGGGGTATATATTCCCCAAAGATAAACTTAAAATAACCCTTTATACTCTAAACTTTTTAAATTTGGATTCATCGAGGCTTAGTGCTGCAGAAAGACATATGTATCCAAAAAATGTACATAAGCCCAAGGTACTTTGGAAGGATATTCTAACAGGACAATGGAAAGGTCCTGACCCAGTGATTGTCTGGAGTCGGGGTTCTGTTTGTGTGTTTCCACAGGGAGAACAGCAGCCGATTTGGATTCCAGAGAGACTAACCAAAGCGATTTCTACAGACCAAAAAGAAGATGATTTGACTCAAATCCATAACAGCCATATCCAGAGCTCCAGCTTGGCTATTCTTACATCTGCGACAGTGATTAACCAGGATGCTTTTTTCAATATCTATTTTATTATTGCCTTTTCCCACATCATAAAGTTCTATTTTGTTTTTTGAGCTCATACAGACCTAGGTTAATGTTTTTCTGATCAGTTCTATTTTTTGACTGTGAAGTTTCTAAACATTGCAATGGAGATTTCACCTGTGAAAAGCTACAAGGCCTTTACTATTATGTTATATGTTGTATGTATTGTGTTATGTGTGCACACTTGTGTTTTGTGTTGTATGTCTGCATGTGTGTATGTCCATAGATCATATATGAGGAGCGCTCATGAAAAAATGGATTCAAATATTTTTATTATTTACGTGATTTAAATGGTTTAATTTAAATTGGGTAAACAGCTGTTGAGGATTGTTTTAATATGTGAACAAATAAGGAGGTTAACAGATCTGCTTGTTTACTTTCACCTTTCCTTTTCATTATATTTAATAATTCTGTTCAGGATAATGTAAATTGTTCAGAAAATTGTTTTCTTAGTACCTGTTGGAATGTTACATAATTTTTTTTTTTTTTTTTTAGCCATCATTGCCAGAATTCCTATCTTCATCCCAGTGGCGGTGAAGACAAAGATAAAACCAAACTACAGCTTCTTCTATAGCTATCACAGTAAACTGTATAAACTGATGCATCAATAAATAATAACTCAACAAGTAATGCTCAATCAAGGAGTCGATTTACTTTGGGAGGAAATGGACATATTGATGGATTCCTCTGCTTTGAACTGCTTGCAGAACTTGCCTGGACTATGTATCACTTGTATGCATTGTGAACTATCTGTTGGTGCAGCGAATTGTGGTAGTGCTGGCGTATCTTTGCTGATGGTGTCATCGGTGGTACAATTTTTCCAAAAAGAGCCGTTATTTGGCTTGGTGTCATGGCATTTTGCATCCTCCTCCCTTCTTCTAGTGATGATCTAAAATTTGGGGGCCAACAGAGGTGAGGCAAAGAACCCCACCCCCCCACTGGCACCAAGGCCAAATTTGGGGGCCAACAGAGGTGAGGCAAAGAACCTCACCCCCCCACTGGTGCATAGGCCTATCCACAGGTGTGGCTGTATGCTGGACCAGTAGTCAGTGACGGGTAAGATCCAATTGCAGTGGTACCAACCTAAGACAGGAGGCTGACGCCCTGAGGTCAGCTCATCCGATGATGGGTAACAATCATATGTAGTATTGGACAACCTAACAGGCACGGTCCCTAAGCCACATTGCTTGTTGTTTAATCAAACAGAAGGGGGGAGATGCTGAGAGCCACAGCCAGTCGGAATGGCCCCTGGCATTTTGCCAATAGTATTGGTTGAGAGGCGAGCCATTAGATGATGCTGGATTGATTCAATTGTATATTAGACCTTTACTGTCTGCCTAGGCCTGCTACTTTGGAGTTCTCGTGGGGATTCCTGGAGAGTTCGCATTGGTTGGGGAAGTGCTGGAGGGGGGATTTCCGGTTGGTGGTTCCTGGAGGAGCCGCGTGGCGTTCGGGAGAGTTCCCGGGGAGCATGTGTGGAGTGTGCTGGTGGAGTTCAGAAAGAAAGTTTGTTCCTGCTTCAGTGGCTCGTGATTTGTGCCCAGTCAGTATCCTGCCCCTATGAGGAGGTGCCATGGCCGTGGGCCGGCGCTGACAGGCTCACACAGGAGGGGCTTCTGTCCAGTGCACCACACCACCCCAGGCTCAGTGAAATCCAGGAGAAGGACCCCTGCCAGCTGCCACAGGTCAGCACACACCAGTGCACACAGAGGCACAGAGGGCCACACCCCACCCACACTGTTTTGGCTGGTGCCTGACCCCAGTTCTCTTCTTTGGTTCACCCCTCCTGCCAGTCTCTCTAAATATCTCTGGCTACTCTCTCCCCATCTACCCTGCTGTCCCAAAGGCCCCAAAGCCACAAAGCCCAGGAGGTGGCTCTGGGCATAGGACACTATGCCCATAAACAAAGGGGGTATCAGCTGACTTCCTGGGCCACCGTCCCACGGAGCACCTATCTGCACACCTGAGGCCAGCTAGGAGGGAGCAGCTCTGCCCAGCATGGACTAGTCAAGAGCCAGGAAGGCCAACTTCAGACCTGCCCCAGGCACCTGGCAACATCCAGGGTGCGTCCTGGCATACCCAGGACTCTTACCCACCACCCCACAAAACACCCTTCTAGAAACTTCACTTTGACACACTCTCTCCACAGGGTACTGAGCCCAAAGGCTGGGGCTGAGACAGGGCACCCATGTGCAGATCCCTGAGGTTGGAGGAGCCGACCTAGGACCCTCCATCAGGGCCCAGGAAGGAGCAGCAGAGGGTGTGATGGGCACCCACACTATGGCCCCAGGAAAAGTGACAAGTAGGGACTGTTCTGGGTGGCCCTACCAGAAACCTCCCCACCCAGTGCTGGGGGTGTGCTGGGTGTCTGGGGGCCCTCCAGGGCAGCCCCCCAAACACCAGAGCAACACCAGCTTAGATTCCCCGACTGGCTTCAATTCCCATGAGCCACCGGGAGGGAGGCATGGCCACCAGGAGGAGGATGTTAGGGACAGCCACTCCTGTAGGCCTAGACAAGAGCAGGGATTTCCTGGGGTCACACATGCCCTGGGCAGCAGAGCAGCCCAGCAGCTGGGGCAGGGCAGCCACCACCAGAAGATATGCTGGCCCCATGAGCACAGCCCAGCTCCAGGCCTACTGCTGGCAGACACCGAGGCCCGAGCACATGGCCCCTGCCACCGGCAGCAGGTGCAGCCCACTCCCCAGCTACCTCTAGGGTTCCCCCACCTGCATACCCCACACTTCTCCAGGGCTGAGACCACTGGGCCATGCTCTGGCTGGGGCGTCCTCCTTCCCAGAACCACAGGCCCCGCCAGGCTGCCCAGCGGGGCTTCCCCTTATGGTGCAGGTAAAATCAAGAGCCTAATCCAAACACAAAGCATTCCTCTGCCTACCGACTCCAAGACTTCCCTTCTGAGCCACACAGGGCCAGACCTCCTGCCCCCAACGCCGCCCCCCCGCAGGCTGGCCCTGACATTCTGCCTGCCTGGCCCTCTAGAAGCGAGTGTGGCCCACACTCCACCCACATCCAGAGGCCCCAAGGAGGTCGGCTTCCAACACCCATCCCTCACCTTGGCAGGCACCAGTGTCCTCCCCGAGGGCAGAAGGTATCCAGACAGACTGTGACGCCACAGCCCTGTGCTGAGCCCAGGTCTCTGGGAGGGCCTCTGAGCCCTGGCTTCAGCCAGACACACTATCCTCTGCTGACAGCAGAGGTCAGCATGCAAACCAGGGCCGGGTTAGTGAGCCCCACCTGGCAGGTGACAGACCCCAGGTCTGAGGACAGTGGGACCCTGACTGGGCCAGCTAGTTGTGAGATATCCACACGAATAGGCAGAAAGACCTGGAGCTGCCCTGGGGGCAGAGCCCTGCAGGGCAGGGCTGGGTGGATGGGGCTCCCAGGATCGGTGGTATCCGTGACCCATTCTGGCCTACACCTGCCCAAACTCCTGTTCAGCAAGAGCCACAAGACCTGGGGCAGAGCCCACCTCTATCCCGAGGGCCAGAGGCTGAGTGGGGGGCTGTCAATAAGCTCAAAAGGGCAGATGCCAGGGCTTCATTCAGGGCATGTCCCATGCAGCATGCCCCAGGGAAGTCTACGCAGACCCAGCCAGGAGGGTAGGACATGGCCAGTCACAGAAGACTGAGCTGGCTCTTGGGCCAGCAAGTTGGGGCCCCTGGAGCTCAAGGACATGCCACCTGCTGGCCTGCACAAGGGCTCGAAAGGCTGGAAACTGACCCCTGACTCGTGTGCTGGACCCAAGACCAGAGAGGACACCCACCTCTTGCACGACATGGACGGTCAACAGCCAGAAGACCCTGGCCAGCAGGAGGCCTCTGAGGGGCGGCAGGGTGTGTCCTCCTCAGAGCAGCTTCCCCCAGTGCCTAGACCCCCTCAGGGCAGGGGAGGGGCTATCAGATCCAGCTCACTTGGGCCCATTGTGAGGGCCACACAGGACCCCAGGGGCTCAGCTCCCACCAGAGTGGACAGTGGGGCTCAGTGGATGGCCACTCTTGATAGCTGGCAGGCAGAGGCAGGCCCTGGGGTCCCACTGGCACCCGACATCCAGGTGGTGCACTCCATACAACAGAACCAGGAGAAGGATGTGATTACTTCACTTTTTACTGGAGATTCACAACAGACAGAAGAAGAAAGTATGTGTCCAACCTCCCACACTGCCCAGGGACCACAGGTCAGCCAGCTGCAGAGCCAGGACCGCAGGGGCCTCCTCGAGTGCGGCACCTCTGTACCAGGCCCCTCAGCCCCAACGCTGCCTGAGAAGCAGAGCCAGGTGAGGCATCTCCAGCCTGAGGCCTTCTAGAAAAGAATGACCTCGTCACCAGTCCCAGGCCTGCTCAACCCAATGGCCAGGTCCACCCAACACCCAGCACTCCAGGTCATCATGGTAATGTGGTTCCTTGGGGCTCGTCAGCCCTGCCCACGGCCTCTATGGGCACACTCCACAAGGGCTAGAGCAGGCCAGCTGGAGCCAGAGGGACTGGCCATGGAGCAGGACACCCGCCCACACAGCGGGCCTGTTTAGGATAAGCTGACAGCAGGCAAAAGGGTCAGCAGACCCTGGCAGCTCCATCTGCTCTGCTCACCCCACAGAGCAGCGAGCGGCAAGGAGAGGCCTGCCCGGGAGTCCTGTACCTTAACCCAGAGTTGGTTCCTGATCTCTCCAGCAGGGGGTGGTCTTTCCTGGCTGCACACCACAGTGGGGCCCCGTCAGGCCTGGGTGGGCAGCAACTTGTAGGGGTTCAGTATGCCCTTGGGGTCCAGCAGGGCCTTGAGCTGCTGCATGAGCTGCACAGCAGGGGGCGGCTTGCTGTAACGAAGGGCGTCCCTCTTCCTGAAGCCCAGGCCGTGCTCAGCACTGACACTGCCCCGCTGCCCTGCCGTCCAGGCATACACGTAGGGCTCCATGGTGTCCAGCAGTGCTGCGCTGAAGGCATCCACCGTCACGTTCAGGTGCAGGTTACCATCCCCTGAGGACAAGGATATGCAGTCAGCCTGGACAGGGACCCCAGACACTGCCCAAAGGGCCCTCCCCAGAGGGCTTCTGCATCCTCCCCAAGTAGTAGCCCTCCTGCCAGTGACCGCCCAGGAGAGTGGCTCTGTCACAGTTCTGTGGTGACAAAGTGGCCACCGTGCCCTGGGCTTCCAGGCCTCTCATGTCCACGCATTCATCTCCCAAATGATCCTTCCACCCATGTGGCCACCCTGAGGAGACCATTCCAGGGCTTCCATTTCCAGACAAGAGTGTCTGCTAGTCCCAGCCAGTGCCGCCATGCAGATCCTGAGGGCCTGACCACAGTGACAGGGGCAGGAGGCTCCACCTGGCCATCCCCAGCAGGGCCTCCTCTGAGGCCACCCAGCCAGGGCCAGTTCCTCTGCGTGTCCTTCCCTGCTCAGCGAGCCCCCTCCGCTGCCTGGCCCTGGGCCCCCATGCTAGGACCCAGGACCCTGAACTAACTCAGGCCCACAAGCCTCCCCTCTGGGGCTGCACAAGAAGATCGGAGGCAAGGTCACCCTTGTCAATGGCAGAAGTCACGGAGGCCAGGGTCACCACAACAGATGGAGAGGATGCAGAAGGCCGGGCAAGGATACAAACTAGAAGACACAGAAATGAAAGTCACAGATGAAAAGACGGCAAGATGGGGGACATGAAGCCACAGAAGAGCTACCCAGCAAACTGAGATTCAGACAGCCCAGCACAACCAGACTTGGTGTAGAGAGACGGCACGCAGGACAGGAGGACAGTCAGGGAAGTGCAGGAAGGACCTGTAGACTCGGGTGTGGGCAGAGGACAGGAGGGACTAGGAGGACCTGTAGACTAAGGTGTGGGCAGAGGGCAGGAGGGACTAGGAGGACCTGTAGACTAAGGTGTGGGCAGAGGGCAGGAGGGACTAGGAGGACCTGTAGACTAAGGTGAGGGCAGAGGGCAGGAGGGACTAGGAGGACCTGTAGACTAGGGTGTTCCCATTGGGAACATGTACTCACAAGCACATCCACCGGCGCCTTGTGGCCCACGAGACCCTGAGCTGAGTTGGAGGGGATGGAGGGGCTCCAGACCTTGCCCCCACTCCTGCTGCAGCACTTCACCAGCAACCCCAACCACTGATGAACTCTGACCACTCTGAGGTACAGCTTCCAATCGTGGCAGCAGAGTCAGGCGGTGCCAAGACCAAACCACATCCTTGCTGTCCTTGCTCAAAAAGCCACTGAAGCAGACACCCAGATGACCAGGGAAGGGCCTGGGCACACTCAATACCCTCCCAAAGCCCAGTCAAGGCTGAGCAGCAGACGGGCCCCGTGGCTCCACAGCAGGAAGATCACAGGTGCTCCCACACAGGAGTCAGGGTCCGAGGGACGACAGGCTGAAGGTGGGAGACCTGGAGGGTGGGGTTCCAGAGCAGTGGGGACAATACGCAGAGACCAAACTGACCACCTCCTCACACTGTGGAAGTCCAAAAATCCTTGAAGAATGAAGACAGGTCAAGGGAAGAACAGCAGAGAATGACCCACAGAAAGGCAGCATCGGGTGAGACACAGGAGGGACCAGGGTGGTCCCATAGGGGAGGAAGGGGGTGAGACACAGGAGGGACCAGGGTGATCCCATAGGGGAGGAAGGGGTGAGACACAGGAGGGACCAGGGTGATCCCATAGGGGAGGAAGGGGTGAGACACAGGGAGGGACCAGGGTCATCCCATAGTGGAGGAAGGGGTGAGACACAGGAGGGACCAGGGTGATCCCATAGGGGAGGAAGGGGTGAGACACAGGAGGGACCAGGGTGATCCCATAGTGGAGGAAGGGGTGAGACACAGGGAGGGACTGGAGGTGGGGGTTGAACCACAGGGAGGGGCTGGGGGGTGAACCAGAGGGAGGGGCTGGGAGGGGGGGTGAACCAGAGGGAGGGACCACGGTGAACCCGAGGGAGGGACCGGCGGTAAGACACAGGTAAGGACCAGGAGAGAACCACAGGTAGGGACCAGGCGTGTCCCAGAGGGAGCCTGTCAGCTGGGATGCCCACACACGTCCACCATCCAAGGCCTCCGCCCAGGTCAGGCCATATGCAGCCCCCAGCAGTAAAATGAAGAGCTAGATGGAAAACACGAACCAGAGGGTCCGGAGCTAGAGGAAGAGAAGGAGGGACACAGAAGGCCAAGGAGGGCAAGAGGAGCCCACACCCTGATCCCAGCACACCACATCAGCCCTGCGGACGGCGGCTGGCCACTGGATGGACAACATCTTCAGTCAAAGTCTCTGGCAGATTCCAAGCCCAAGGAAAAGGCCTGGGGGCTGCAGTGGCCGATGCTGAGGGGAGTGGGCCGAGGCCGTGGGGACAGAAGGCCCGACTCACAGGCCCAGGCAACAGTGTCAGCCCCCTCCTCAGAGCCTGCTTGCTGATGCAGAGATGAGGGTGGGTACCGCCAGGGGCCAGAGACCCCACCGGTCTCTGACGAAATGGAAACCTGCAGGGTCTGAGCAAGCTGACCCACCAGCTGCAGAGGGCACGTCCTTCCAAGTGCTCACTAAACAGTCCCGAAGGCTGTCCCCACCTGCCTCGGGCTCGACCCAGCCAGTTCCTGGCTACCAGGCAAGCGAGAGCAAGTCAGGGTTTTTTGGTGCTGGGGATTGAACCCAGGGAGGCTCTCCCACTAAGCCACATCCATGGTCCTTTTAATTTTTTATTTTGAGAAAGGGTCTTGCTGAGCTTCCCAGGCTGGTCTTAAATCTGGGGTTACAAGTGTGAGCTGGGGCACTGGCTTGATAGCCTTTAAAATAGCTAAAAAACACCTGATGTCTAGAAATACAGAAGCACATTTCTGCATAACGTGGGGCAAAGAAAACCTGAGAATGGAGACAGCAGGCATCTGGCCAGGAGGGTGGCAAGAGTAGCCTCCAAACACCAGCCAGCCCCAGCCCACCCAGCCCCGCCGCAGGGAAGCCGTCAGGCAGCGAGGCCAGGCCAAGTCTGTGCGGCTAGGAGAGGAAGGGACAGAGGACCGTCACCCACGCTGCCCGCATGGGGCAGAGGCGGAAGAAGAGGGAAGGGCGGCCAGCAGGTGGGCTCCTGTCACCACAGCCCAGGAAGCCTGTGTCACTTGTGCCGTGCCACACAGGTCCCAGAGCCAGCCATTTGCTTAAGTGACAGCAGTGTCCTCACTGGGCACTTCTGGGATTACGCTATTCCTGACAAAGAAATTAACAGAAATGCTAAACACAACACAACTGTGGGGGGGCCTACTCAGGAATTCTAAACCCACGGAAGGGACAGGGCAACGCCCCGTGAGCAGGCCGTTCTCTTTAAGGGTAGAAAAAGGACCTAATGAAGCTCAAGCGGAAGAGCAAAGAACGCGACAGAGGGTGGGCAGAAAGGAGGGCCACAGGAAGTCGGCGTCCTCGAGGAGGGGCTGGGAGGCCAGGAAGGGACAGCTAGCCTAGCAGAACCCAAAGGCCCAGTGACCAACACCAAGGAATCGAGAGGGTCCTGAGCAGCCGCCCGGTACAGGGAACCGGAATTCCATCAGACGTGGACAAGTTTCTCAGGGAGAAATTCACCAAAACCAATTCCCAAAGAAAGGGAAAGTTCAACAAACGATAAAATTGATCCATCAGCAAAAATGACAGCCCTCAAATAAAAACAAAAACCAGAGCCCCAGGCCACACGTCATCACTAGCAAACGCACCTGAGACAAGGTCGGGAGTGCCTGGCCTCTGAAGCATCTGCTATCCCCAGTCTAGGTATGTGCCACCTGCCAAATCCCAAACTTGGCCCCTAGGGCTGGGCGACTGGAGGGTTACTTGATGTCTCTGCGCTCCTTTACCATGGAGGAGAACCATGGCACCACCCCTCAGAGCTGTGCAGTGTGCACTGGGCCCTCACCCCTCTCCACAGGCAGCACCAGCACCTCACCTTTGAGACCTCCGGGAAGGCAGGAGCCAGCAGAAGGAGATCCCATTGCCCTGCCTCCCTGGAAACTGGCTTCTAGCACCAGGCACTGAAGGCCGTGGGAGTCCAGAGATTGGGCTATGTCCTGCTCCCAAAGCCCACCAAAGCTGGCACTGAGCAACTCGTCATGCTGCAAGGGTCAGGTGGGCTGGAGGAGCCCCCCGGAACCCCAGCCTGGGCCCTAAGTAGGTCTGTGTCCTCCTCCCTGCATCCAGCAGAGCCCAGAGTCTCAGCAGGCTGGGCCATGCACTGCACCATTACTAGTGCACACAGCCTTCTTTTCCAGAATGGCCAAGAGGAATGACCACTTGGGGCCTCCTCAATGGGCCTCTCCAGCATCATGAAGCCAGGACAGTGCACTCAGCTGCAGAGATGGCCACAGCTATCCGCATGGTTCACAGCCACTCACCCAGGTGGCCATAGCCCACCACATGCCTGGCTTGTGAGCCAAGGCGGGCACGCAGGTCAGTCACCAGGTCATAGAGTCGCTCCACGGGGAGAGACACGTCATACTTGTACACATAGCCATCCCGGCTCAGCGCCTCCGTTATCCTCTCCCGCAGGGCCCACAGCGCCTAGGGCGAGAGAAGGAGCTGTCAAGGCCCGGCTCGGCTGGGCCCCTGTGCCCAGCACAGTTAGCAAGTCCCACATTCCCGGGGTACAGGCATCAGGACCACGACCCAGGACCAGCCACAGGCTCATCCACAGCAGGACTAAGCACCGAGGGGCCCGAGGCTTCGAGATGCTGGGCAGCCCGGGGTCCTTCCAGAAGAGGAGAGCAGCAGGCACAGCTCCCAGGGACAGGCAGCTGGGCAGGGCTGCTGCAGGGGGCCAGGGACGCTGGAATCCAAGTGGGGGCAGGGATGGGGCATGAAGGGGTAGGCAGTGCAATAGAGGGACCCAGCTTCAGGTCCTGGGCTGCTGAAGGGACCTGTGGGTGAGGTAGGGATGGGAGGGGTGGAGCACTGGCGGCTGGAACAGAGAAGCTGAGGTGGAGCAGGCAGGGCACTCCAGGGTGGGCATGGGCCGGGGCTGAGGGAGTGCCCCAGTGTGGGCATGGGCCAGGGACTGGTGGGGGTGCCAGGGGGAGGGCATGGGCCGGGGCTGGGGGAGCGCCCTGGGTTGGGCATGGGCCAGGGGCTGGGGGGCAGCACGGGGTGGGCATGGGCTGGGGCGCCCCCAGCCCCAGGGTGGGGATGGGCTGGAGCTGGGGGGTACCCTGGGGTGGGCATGGGCTGGGGCTGATAGGGGACAACCCGGGGTGGGCATGGGCTGGGGCTGTGGGGTCGCCCATCCACAAATATCCCTTCAATTCCAAAGAGGCTCTTCTACCCACATCCAGAAGCCCAGTCACCTGGTGGCTTTCTTGGTTTTCTCCTGCTATTGGAAATCTGGAGCCACAAGGCCAGCAGGCCCGGAACCACCCCCAGACCCTGACCCCTATCTATGCTGGCCTGAGAGACCCACAACTTCAGGGCACATATCAAGTGAAGTTTCAGAAAGATAAGAACTTTCAATGCTGAAAAGCAAACAATTCCACCAAACACCCACCGTGAGTCCAACCCCAGCTCTTGACCAACTCCTCTAGCCCCACCTCCGCAAGTCCAGCCCTCAGGAGGGTCCTCATGGACACTATTGCCCTCAGGCTCCTTCACCAGGACACCCTCTGCTCATCCCAGCAGCTACAACATCTGCTCTCCCTGTGGGCCACCCCTACCCCTCTGCTCTAGGCCCTCCACCCCTGGAACATTCTAGAACACGCAGGAACTAGAACTAGCTGCTCCTGCATCACCAGCCTGGCTCGGGCATCAACCTAGACTGGACCAGGATGAGGAGGGCTGGGGGCAAGCATCCAAGGAAACCGGTGGGCAGGTCACGCAGGCCTGTGGGTGCCTCCAGGATGAGTGCAGGCCCATCTGCTGCCCTCCCCAGAGACGCCCTCTGCTGGCTCATGCTACCTCAGGCCAGCAGCCTGCAGCCCCTGATTCTCCTCCCTCAGAGCCTGGAAGGCAGGTGCTGTGGCCAGGCCCCAGTAAGGGGCACGTGAAGTGGAGCTCATGACCAGAGGGAAAGGAGAGCTCTGGCCACAGCATCTGCCAAGCCAACCAGGGGTCACAGGGGCACGCAGAGACTCCTGGCGGGTGCCGATGGACTCGCAGTCCTGGGCCAGCAGGCGGCCAGCCAGCACCCTGCTCAGAACCCCTGCCCCCCTCTTCCCCGAGGGCAGAATCACCACCTGAGGGGAGGAGTCATGGAGGTGAAGCCAGCAAGGGCAGAGGCCATGGAAGAGCCGGCTCACCCCAGGGGGGCTCATGGCTAAAGGCAGCCTGTGGGTGCCCTGCAGAGCTTTAGGGAACACAGTGGCTAGCTGCAGAGAGTCTTAATAAGGAGCTCTTCTCACCTGGCCAAAGCCCCATCCCACAGCAGGAGACCCTTACCCCTCCCCAGAGCCCTGACGCACCTTCTGGCCCCTGCTGGCCACTCACCACAGACAAGGAATCCCCATGGCCAGGGTCCTAGGGATGGCCCCATGGCTCCCACTGGGCCCTCCTCTTTCTCCTTCCTCTGCCCTCCAGGGTGAAGGTTTCTGGCAAGAGCATAACCTCTTCCTCTGGACACTCCTTCCCAGGACCCACGGCTTTTCCTGCCTGTCCATAGGAAAGCAGTCCACCCAGAGCTGCCACTGACCCACTGGCAACTGCACCACCAGGTCCTGGTGCTGGCCACACAGTACTTACTGCTCACCCTGCAGCTGAGGAGTGGGGATTTAAACATTGATGAAGATGACCTAGACACCAAGAACACATTTTCCATTCCAAAGAGGCTCTTCTACCCACATCCAGAAGCCCAGTCAGGTCTCGGCGCCACCCCTCATCTGCTGAGAGACTGTTTCCAGGCCCTGCACACAGACGGCAGGAGGGCATCAGCACCTGGGCTTTGCTCTCGTCTGTGGCCACGGTGCCATCAGTCACCAGGCCTGAGCCCAGCACCCGCTCCAGAAAGCAGCCCAGCTTCTCGGCGTCATGCCCTGTGCTGGAGCCAGAGGTCTCGACCAGGAGGTAGAAGGCACTCTCTGGAAGGAAGCAGGAGACACAGAATGAGCAGGGCCCAGGCCATCGCTGTCAGTCAGGGCCACTGCAGGCCAAGGCCCAGCCTCCCAGGTACAGCAGCTCTCTGGACAGGCCAAGGTCCAGAGGTTCAAGGCCATAGCCAGAAGCTCCCCCCTCAGCCGCAGTGCTGCAGGAGGACTCACGCTCTTAGCACAGCCCTCCAACTCCCAACCCCAGCACGCCACGGAAGGCTGCTGCAGTGAACACCCACGAGGGCCGCAACCTTTGGCCACTGCACCGAGGAACGTGCACTCCCTCACAAGGGCCTGCTGTGTGGGCTTTCAGAAGGTTCAGCTAGGTAGGAGTGCTGGCCATGCCTGTCATCCCAGCAGCTTGGGGGGCTGAGGCAGGAGGGCTGCGAGTTCAAAGCCAGCCTCAGCAACTTAGTGACACCCTGTCTCAAAATAAAAAATAAAAAGGGCTGAGGGTGTGGCTCAATGGTTAAGCACCCCTGGTTCAATCCATGGTACAAAAAAAGAAAAACCAAAAGGTTCCATTTTGCATTATTTATGGAGAAAAATTTCAAGTTTGGAGTTTTGTCAAGGCTACTGTGAATTTTGCTCTGCATTTATTGAAATTAATAAATGAGAATTTACTGAGTAACATCTCTCCCTTAAAACTACATTAATATTTCTTCCAGAATGACATCACAAGTTCATGCTACTACAGAGAGAACACCAGTGTGAAGGACAGTTGGCTCACACAGGACGAACCACAGCCACATTGCACTCTGTCCAGAGCCCCTTCCCTGCTCAGGGACCCTCTGTCCATCCACAGCCTGTGAGCTCTTCAACATATCCCACGGCACAAGAGGAACAGGGTAGGTGCTACCTAGCTACACAGGGCCAGTACCTTGCACTGGGCTGGCCAGGTGGAGATGCTGCTGGACCAGCTGCATGCACTCGGCATCCATGAACTCGAAGGCAGACAGGATCTCCCCCAGCATCCCCCTGCAGGTGCTGAAGGTCTGCAGAACCTCTGCAAAGCCAGGACAGCCTGCAAGGGTCACAGCGCATCAGAGGCATGCAGTGACAGTATGGAGAGCCACCCCACAGTCTGGCCAGGTCTCCCTTCAAGTAGCAATGCCACGAACCGGCAAGATTTGACTCCAGGAAACACCTGGCAAGCTGGCCAACATGGACATCTCAAGGTCACTGCCAGTGTCCAGATCTGGAAAGAAAATGCCTTAGAACCACCATGCAGCATTCAGGACAGTGGTGGAATCAGAGGGACTTGTCCTGAAGAGCCACAAGCAATGCCAAACAGGGACATCTGGAAACAGCTGTTTCTTAACATGACCATCCACTCCCAGGAACTCACCCAGGACATGGTTACTGGACATTTGGGACTTTGCCAGTGCTGAGGTGGGGGAACCACCATCAGCTGGCCACCAAGTGTGGAGGCAGAAAGGAAGCAAGTGGACAGGAGGGAGGTAACAGCTTCGACCCTATGGAGGCGAGCATGTGCCCAGGCCTCAGGAATGACCAATGCCACCTGGAAGAAGCAAGGACCAGTCCTCTCAGCAAAGGCTACTCCACCCCTGGCTTCCAGGGACCCCACAAGCAGTCCTTCCTGGGAGCTGCGCACATGAGGATGCACAGTACCACAAACAAGAACCAGAAGAAACCAGACACTAAAACAGTCCCCACACACTCAGAGAGAGTGTGAACTGTCCAATCATGAAACATGGTTAAAAAAAAAAAAAGTTCTCTGTGCTCAAAGACAGAAACACAGAAGTCGAACACACCTGAGATGTACAGGGAACTATGGAATGCAACAGCACACGTCTGAAGAAGTGATAAGACTTCTAGAATAAAAACTATGATAATCACATCTGACGCTCAGCAGGGGGCAGAGGCCATCTGCAAAGTCTGACATCACTTTAAAGGCAGCAGAAGGCGGCATCAGTGAACCAGATCACAGCACAGGAGACAAGCAGACACAGATGGCAGGCAGGTCAAGACATGAGGACAGGCTGGGAGGTTCCCTGCTATGCCCACCTCCTCCCCCAAAGGAGAGGACCACACCGGCTGCCCTTCAGGCGATATGGCCACAAATTTCCAAAGCCACAGGCCTGAGAGGTTCAACAACTGCAGAGGTGAAGAGATATGCACAACACAGCAAAGACCTCAGAAGACTAAAGGAAAAGAGAAGGTGGCCCAGGTAGGAGCATCAGAGAGAAGGTCCTCCCTCCCAACACACACGGAGCCAGCAGCTGGTGAGCGACACTGTCAGTAGATGGAGGAAGCAAGGGCCAGGCTGCCGCTGGACACCAGTGAGTCTCAGGAGCAAGGGAGCGCAGGCAGTTCAGATGCACCCAATGCACAGGGCAGCCCTCAGGAAGTGCCAGGACAGACGTGCAGGACGAGACCCAGGTGGAATGCCTAATGCAGCAGCCAGGGAGCAAGACAGTGCCCACGAGGTCATGGAGACCACCAGGGCAGATTCAGAAAAATGTGGCAGAATCAGACACTCTCTGAGGAGAGGCAAATGGGCCTCTGCAGGAGTCCTAAACTCTCAGCAGGCCACCTGGTAGGTCAGCACATCCTCCGTGCTCTCCAGAGGACTGTGACCCAGCAGCAACAAAGCCATGCCAGATAGCTGCCGATCCAGATGGAGGCAGGGACAGGCATGGTGTGACAGGAAGTGGGGCCTGGACTGAGGCCCGGGGCCTCTGGGGAACACTTGAGGTGTGCTGCTGGTGCACAGAATGGGAAGAAGATGGTTTCTTCCCCTCACAGGAGGTTACCAACTTTCCCACGGCTAAGAGAGGAACCTCACCCCACATGCCACTTCAGCCCCAGCACACTGGGGTACAGGAGCCCAGCACCTCCATTCCGTCACCAGAGGCAGAGCAAGGCTTCCAGTGCAGAGCCTGCTCTATGGACAGGAAGGCCAGGCCCAGACCCTGGCGCTCCTCTGTCCCCATCCTTGCACTAACAACCTGGCCAAGGGATCCAGCCCGAGCAGCATGGGCCGGAACTGCCCCCCCAGCTTGACAAGCAAGGCGAGATGCCTACCAAGAAAAGCCACATTCACAGCCTTGGGTCTGGGCGGGCACAAGATGGACACAGCGGTGATGACCCCCAGGGTGCCCTCCGACCCAATGAACAGCTGCTTCAGGTCATAGCCTGTGTTGTCCTTCCTCAGGGAGGTCAGGCAATCCAGGACAGTGCCATCAGCCAGCACCTAGGGAGGAGAGAGAAGCCAGCCTTCACACACTGACCATCTCCCAACAAGTGACTTGCTGGTCTGCAGCTCCATCCTCCTCCCCCTCTGGCCATTACACAAGGAGAGCCAATCTTATCTCAGGGCACCCAGAAAAGGTAGCCACTCCTGAGCCCAACTGCCCCAGCCTCAGCAGTTAAAGAGCAAAATGGGCCTAGGTGAGACAAGGGTGGACCCACCCAAGCCCTGTGAGGGAAGAGTTCTTCCCAACTGGAGCCGGAGCCAGCCTCCCATCACCACACAGCAGAGATGCTGACTGCCCAGCTGCAGTGGCCGCCTGAAACAGGACAGGAGGCACAACTATGGGGACAGGGACCTGGGGACCCAAGGGCCCTGTATGGAGAGCTGCCTGAATCCTGCTGGCTGTGCCAGAAGACAGAGTCTCACGGATGCAGTGCCAGAGCGCAGGAGCTAACACGCAATCAAATACTACACAGCACCAGAACACACAGCCAGGAGCCTGTGTCAACCTGGGAGACAGAGCAGAAGCCACAGGGCACCAGAGGACGGGGCAGGGTCCCTGTGGCTCTGCTGGCTGGCCTTGGCTGAGCATTCTTCCCACTCTGACTCCTGGGAGACTGGCCCAGGCAGCGTCCCAGGGCTAGTCAGGTAGACTAGGAGGCGGTAACATGGTGTCATGCAGGAAGCCAGAGTGGGGGCCCCTCAGCTCCACGGTTGTGGCAACCTGCAGGTCCCCAAGGGGCCTGAGCCAAGGGCTGTTAAGATGGGCTCTTTGATATGCAATGTGGCTGCCAGCTTAAGGTGGCCTTGTGCCTCTGCCTAGGCCTGAGAAGAGCCCAGGAGAAGCCAGGACACCTGGGGTGGGGTCCCACACTGCTGGCCCCAGCTCACCACTTCCAGGCCCAGCACAGTCCCATGCAGGGAGCCGTATCGCAGAAACCGCAGGCCGCCCGCGTTGGTAGCCACGTTGCCCCCAATGTGGCAGCTGCCCTTGGCTCCCAAGTCCAGCGGCATGACGAAGTCCCGCTCCTGCACATACCGGCTCAGTCCCTCCAGCACACACCCTGCCTGGCAGGTCAGGATTCCTGCAGAGAGCAAGCAGGGCCACCCTGGGCTCCGGCTCCCAGGCCAGCCAGAATTCCACTACTGGGCTACCCCACAGCTGGCCACTCACAGCCAGGCAGAGCAAGAGGCCTCTGGCCCGCCTCCCCCAGACTCCAAGGCCCCTCTGTGACTGCAGAAATGCTGGCGAACTCCCCCCGCCGTCTCTCTCTCTCTCTCACACACACACACACACACATACACACACACACACACACACTCAGAGCTGAGGAAACTGTCACATGGCAGCCGACCTCAACTGAGGTGACTCTGCCCCAGGACCAATGACATCTGGACTGGTGGTGGGAGGAAGCCTGCCTCTTGAGACCCTAGTCACAGGTGTGGCCAGCACAGAGATGACCCTGACAAATGCCCCAGAGCAGACCCAAGGTCCTGTCACTCCTATAACCACACCTCACCACCCTCCAGAAAGGCCATCATGCCCAGAAAGTGCCAGGGTCCAAAAGGACCAGAGTGACAAGCTCACATCATACCAGGCATCCAAGCTACCCCATGGCAGACCCACCCAGAGGGCCCAGGTGGCAGCCGTGCACCACCGCTGGTCCCTCCCCAGTCGGGGACACGTATCCACACACAAAGGCCTGCCTGCCTAAGCACACTCCCCACCACTGAGGGCCACGTGGCTTACCAGACACACTGTTGAAGCTGGTGACCTGGTTCATGAGGGCAGTGGACAGGATGATTTCATCAAAGACAGGGACGCTGCCCCCCACCAAACCTGTGTTTCCACCCTGTGGGTTCACGGCCAGGTTCCTCTCGTGGCAGTACCTGGGAGAGCACAAGAGGGGCATGGGGCCAGCATCTCTGCTCCCAGTACTGCCCGCAAGGGACATGCTACATGCAAGTATGCCCCCAAAGCTGATCCTCAAGGCCCTCCCTCCACCTGCTGGCCACCCCCCTCCCAGCATGCTGTAGGCAACCACACAGGCAGAGGGATCCTGACTGGCCATGTGCCTGCAGGGACAGACAGTCCTAGGCGCCTGGCCAGCCCCACACTTGCAGGTCTGCAGCCACCCTCAGCCCACCACTCCAGCCCTGATCCCATGTGCTGTCTACTCCCCACCCTGGGACCTCAGAGTCATCTATGGCTGCTCCTCCACAACCAGGCCTACTTGGCAAAGCCTGAAGCAAGGGCTCCCAGGGGTAGGAAGCAGAGGAATGGGTGCTCCTACCCCAGGGCAATCTGTCCATGCACATCAAGTCAATCTGAGGGGCAGGAGCATGGGGCCAGTTCAAACTGCAACATGAAAGTCCCCAAGTGACCCTGCCTGACACATGTGACAGCACCCATGCAACCACGGGAACACCAGCCCATCTGTTACCTGAGGATGCGGGACACCTCCTCCGACGTCCGGGGTCGCAGCAGCACCTTGCTACAGCCTATGACAGAGGTGGGTAGCCAGCACAAAGGACAGCAATTCCCAGGCACCCAGCACATCCCAAAGGGCGTTCCCCACAGGCCCTCACTGGTCGTCGTGGCTCAGGCCCCAGTACACAGGTGCAAGAGCAAGCTGTTCAAAGGTCCCGGGGGACACACAGGGGCAGGGGCCGGGCCAGTGTGCTGTGGCTGTGAGTGCTGGCAGGGGGGCTCCCCATGCCCAGCTGCTCTGTCAGCAGTGAAGGCCATCTGAACCCCACAAGGGGCTTCTCCAGTGCACGGTCCTTGGAGACCTTGGAGACTGCAGCCTGCTGCTCCTGGGACTCTCACCTGCTGACATTAGATGCGCCAAGTGTCCCACCTGCGGTCACTGCGACGGCTGGCAGTCCATGCCCTTCTAACCACTCACCCTACTCTTTCACCTGGCCCTGCTCCCTCCCAGGACTCGTTGGTCCCGCTGCCTGCTCTCACAGGGCAGCTCCTGGGTTCTTCTCCCATTGCTTGGGCTTCATTCTTGCTGCCTGTGACTCTCTGTGGCCCAGAGACAGTGGTGGGAGCCCTTCTAAGCTGCAGGGTGGCATTCCTGAGCACTGCCACCCAGCATGGTGGGCTTTCACCTACCCTTGCACCTCTCTGGGGTCTCTAAGGTGGCAGAGGCCCTGGGAGAAGCCGTGGCCAAGCTATGGAAACAGGCCCCTGCTTACTTCTGGACTCTGAAGGCACGCGTTGGCTTGTCAAGCACACCTGCTGCTGGGTGGGCTGCCATCCTGCACCGGGCTCTGTGCCACCAGAGCTCCTGCCGGTGCACTCGGAACACTCTGCCCGGCACAGCCTGGGCTGGGTGGGCAAGAAACCCCAAGGAATCTGCATCAGGGTCCAGGCGGACACAAGTGCCCACCGAGAGAATGCCCCTTGCAGGCAGAGGAGAGTGTCCATCGCTAACAGGTAGACATGCAACAAGGGACACAGGACCATCCACTAAAAGAACAGAAGCCAGGAGGCAGGAACCAGGGCCCAGGAGGAAAACACCCAAAGCCGTAGAGTCCAGTGGGAAGGGGGGAATCCGCCCCAACACTTCCCGGCAGGACGCCCACCACAAGGGGCCCCTCCTCCTCTCCCCTGGCCACATTCTCACCACTCCAGCCCCCAGGTGCTTCGCCATCCTCTGGAGTTTGTGAAGACCAAGAAGCACCTCCCAAACTTTCATCAGCCTGGCCAGGGCCCCATCCTCTAGAAGCCGCCACAGAGGCTGGCCTGAATTCTGGCCTCCACTTCCAGAGCTGAACACTAGAGCCTCCACCATCTTTCCAGCAGCCCCCAAGGATGGGGCTCCTCATGCACTTCCTTTCTCCCAGGCCTCCCACGGCCTATCCCACCACTCACCCAGCTGGCGCCCCACCACTGTCCCAGCCCTGGCACCCCAGCTCTCCTCCTGGTAATCTCCTTGGGCCTAGTGTCCACACAGTGAACACTGACCCGCTGCCTATTTTTGTAAACAAAGTCGGTAGACGCACGCACACCAGGTCCGTCTTTATCCATGGCTGTCTTCACGCTGCAGCAGCAGTGCTGGGCATCTGCAGAGGCCACAGGCCTGCAGGCCTGAAACGCTGACTATCGAGTGGTGGTTGGGTTGTTCTTTCTTGCGGGGGAGGGGAGGAGGGTATGTTGTGGTGCTGGGTGTTGGACCCATTGCACTAGACCTCCAGTCCTTTACTTTTATCTCCAGATCGGGTCTCTATGTTGCCAGGATGGGCTGCAAGTGCTCCAGCCTCAGCTTCTGTGTTGCTGGGACCTCAGCATGGCCACCACACCCAGCTCCACCATGCAGCTCTGTAGAGGCTTTTACTGGCCAGCCACACAAACCCTCCCAACACCAAGGGCTCCAGCACCCACGTCAGCGGCTCGGGGCTTACGGTGCACACCTCAGGAACTTCCAGGCCAAGCGCGGTGTACCCCAAACACCATGCTGACTTTCCAGGTTGGTCCTCACACTCCTCGCCAACCTGGCCAGAGCCAGGACCCTGGTTCCAAACCCACGCCTGACTGCACCTCCCTCTCCCACACAGACTGTTAGTGACAAATGCCTGAGGAAAACAGAGGAGGAAAGGTTCATTTTGCTCAGGTTCCAGAGTTCTCAGCCCATGATCAGCCAGCTCACTACTCTGGGCAGGTGAGGCAGAGCCTCACAGCAGAAGGACATGGCAGAGGAAAGCCCTCCAGGGCACACACCAGTGACCCACTCCCTGCAACTAGACCCACCACCTAGGGCTTCAATCCCCTCCCAATAATGGCATCAAACACAAATCCACTGATGGACTGATCCAGCCCGATGTCAGCACCCTCAGGTCCAGTCACATCCTGAAGGCCGCACCTCTATCACTGACGCACTGAGGACCATCCTTCAACACACCTGGGACATTCCAGAGCCAAACCACGACAGATCTGGGTCCCCCGTCCCCACTGCATCACCAACTCACTTCACTGAGTGTGCCCTGCCCGGCACACGCGACTCTCCACCACCCGCCTCTGCACCCACCGCCCACCTCCCCTCTGCGCCTGCCCCACCCCTGTGTCCTGCCCCTCCTGGTCATTCCCATGGACTCCTAACCTGCTGGAAGTCTCTCATCTTAAAACTAAAGAGGAAAAGAAGACTGCTCCCACCTGCTCCCACCCCCCCTCCCCTGGACAGCCACGCCACGTGACTCCAAGTGCATACCCTCCAGCCCAGACGCCATGCCCACACTGGCTCCCGCCGCACATCTCTCTGTCACGCCACCAGTGACGCCATGGCTCTGGTCTCACCTGTGGCCGCCGCACCACACACCACCTCCCTGCACAGCACACTCCCCCAGCTCTCCTCCTGCCCTTGGCCTTGCCTGCTCCCTCTCCTGCTCTCCGCTGACTGTGGGCACCCAGCTGTGGGACCCTGGCTCCCAGCAGGGCCCCTGCCCTGGACTCCAGACTGTCCCTCAGCCCAGTGGGTCCTCTGGCCAAATCCACCGCAACATGTCCAAAACCAAGCTCTTGGTTCCCCCAGCAGACCTGCTCCCTGTGAACCCTCCTCTCAGTAAATGGGGATTCCCACTGTCCGGCCACACCATGGTCCTCCTCCTCTGTGGTCAGACCTTCAGCAAGCCTAGGGACCACATCCTCCAAGCACTATGCAACCTGCCATGCCTTCTGCCTCCACCAGCCAGGTCCCTAGCCCCCATACTCTTCTTCTGAAGCCCCAGATTCCTCCAGAGCCTGTCCCACTAGCTCCTCTCCACTCAAGGTCTCTCAGCGGCTTCCCACCAGCTCAGAGGAGAAGACAGGGCTTCATGGCCCTCCAGACTTGCTGGCCAGCCCAATCCCTCTCCAACTGCCCTGGTTCCAAGGAGCACAGAGGCTTTATGCTGCCTGCTCCCACTCCCAGGTGTCCTTCCAGACGTGCTCGAATGGAGGCACCCCACTTCATCCACACTCTTGAAAGCCCTGGGAACAGCCCCTCGCCCATCAGGACAGCAGCTACTGGCCCCGGGTGCCGGCAGGGTACAGAGCCCAAGCCTGGAGCAGCTGGTGTGGGGTTTGCAACGTCCACCATGCAGCACCCCTGAGGTGGCACGCACCCTTGTGCAGAGGACACTTAGGCTGCCTAGGGCTCCCAGCAGGGGTACAACATGGCTGAGCCTCCAGGTACCTGCCTCCTCAGTGGGCAGGGTATGGCAGGGGAACCCTGAGTGCCCACTGAGGGCACTCCTGCATGGGAAAGTGGCCCATGACTTCAGTGTGTGCTGCCACCCCTTAGGGCACAGCCCCTGGACCACCTGAGCCTCCAAGACCTTGGCACCACACTTCAGCACGATGTGGTCTGGAACCTCACTAGGGTCCTCACAGTTTGGGAAGATCTGCCCCGTAACAGCACAAGCTTGCAGGAGCAGGGCTAGCCTGAGAACCTGGGCTTCCAGGTTAAATGTGTCATTTTGTTTTCAACTGTTGTCCATTGCTTTTCTGCTACCTCTCTTCACTATTGCAGCAATAATCTCATGTTGGTTTTTTAAATCATGTCAACAGGCCAGGTGTGGTGGCCATAACTGTAATCCCAGTGCCTTAGGAGGCTGAAGCAGGAGGACTGCAAATTCAAGGCCAGCCTGGGCAACTTAGCAAGACCGACTCTCAAAATGGAAAATCTAAAAAAGACTCAGGATAGCTCAGTGGTAAAGTGTCCCTGGATTTAATCCCCAGTACCAAAATAAATAAGTAAATAACAAACCAGTGTGAGCATGCAAGCTGTGCATTATCTCTGAACCACTTCAAAAGAGAATATGAACCACTGTGATCAAGAGGGTCGGGACCTCGTGCACTAGGGACAGGTGTGGGAGGAGTAAGCAGGCAGTGGCCAGGCCAGCAGCCCTGCCTCTTACTCTGCTGGGCTACATGGACCCCAAGAGACACGTCCACGTCCCCAGGAACCTACATGAGTATCCTTCTATGGAAAGGCTCTTGAAAGAAGTGCTAAGAAGTGAGATGAGGTCAACCTATGTCAGGTGGGCCCTGAACCCAGCACAAGGGTCTCACTCAGATGCAGGAAACACAGACGCAGAGGGGCCATGGGAAGCTGAAACAGGCTGCAGTGCTGCTGCAGAGAGCTAGGAGCTGGAGAGGCAGGAAGGCCCCAGAGACTCAGCACCCCTTCTGACCAGGCTTCTGGTCTGGGGCTCTGAGACCTCTGTGTGGTCTTGGATCACGGCAGTCCCCAGAGGAGAAGACAGGTGCTTGTCAGACCAGCCAGGGCCCGTGCCAGCTCTCGACCTGCAGATGTCACACACCCACACGAGGACTTCAGCGGCACCACAGCTCGGCTCTTCTCCGGAGGCAGGAAAGGCATGTGACAGTGACCCACGCTTCCTGGCTGCATTGCCCAGGGTCCTGACTCACCTCGGGCTGTCCTCAGCCAGTCCACATTAGACACCTCCAGTTCTTCTGGGTCTGTGACAACTCTGCCGGGGACAATGCGCTCAAAAGCTGCCAGGTCCTCCTCAGACACCACAGAGAATGGCAGCCGCTGCACAGGGTAGCGCTCCTGGGTCAGCATCACCTCAGGGGTGCAGGAGGACACTTTGGAGGACATGCTGCAAGCCAGGGGGCCAGACGCTCCCCCAGGGCACCCTGGCCCCCTCTTCGGCCGCACCAAGGCTCTGAGAGTACACGTTGTCCTCCACCACCCTGGAGAGGCCCAGAGGCCCACAGACCATCTTGGCACACGACACAGCACCATGGCTTCTGCCTGAAAAACAAGGGATTGGGGGCTGGGGTGGCAGAGCACTTGCCTAGCATGAGCACTGGGTCGGATCTCCAGCACCATGTTAAAAAAAAAAAAAAAAAACTATTTAAATAAACAAAAGTATTGTGTCCATGCACAACTAAAAATATAAAACATAAAATAAATTTAAAAAATTAAGACAAAGGACTGGACCTGCAATTTGGGAACACTGGCGCAGTGGAGAGTCCCTCCCAGCCACAGTAGCACGAGGAAGCCCTACAGCCCACAGCACATCCTCTCTGGAGAACTCAGGTGAGTCAGGGGGCAGAACAAGCCTGGAGGGGAGGCAGGGAAGCTGGCGCTGGGAGGAAGCTGCCCTGGGCCCCAGCGTGGCCACCCTGCAAAATTCACTGGTGGGAATCCACGGCAGGGACACCTGCAGCAGGCACCTTGTCTTGGTGTTATACTTTCACCTCCATTTTTCTGGAACCAGGGATCGAACTCCAGGCACTGGGCCACCTCCCCAGCCCTATTCTGCATGGTAGAGACAGGGTCTCACTGAGTTGCTTGGCGCCTCACCTTTGCTGAAACCGGCTTTGAACTCACCATCCTCCTGACTCAGCCTCAGGAGCCGCGGGGGTTACAGGCGTGCACCACTGACCCTGGCCCCTTGACCTCCTCCCAGGCCCCTTCCCCTCAGAGCCAAGCCAGATCTAGGTACCAGGGGAAAGGGCAGGTGCCACTGCACTGTGCCCGAAATCAGCCACAGGCGCTTTCCCCCGTTTCACCTGTTCCGCTACAAGTTTAAGATGCTTTCATCGTTACCAAAAAAGAAGAGCCGTGGCACCCACCCGCAATCCCGCTGCTAGGACCCCTCCCCGGGACGCCTCGGAACCCGAGAACACCCCAGGACCGCCCCAACCGTGACCCCGCCCACCAGAGACAGCCGCCCCACACCTTCGCGCGGGAAAGCCCCTCAGCGCCACCCGCCAGGGCTCCCACCTGCGGCCGCCCACAGCCTAGCGACCCGGAAGAGCCGCGCACAGGCCCCGCCCCCGGACTCCCAGCGACCTCAGCCTGGGCTGTGCACATGCGCACTGGCTCCCGGTGGCCACGCCCAGGCCCCGCCTTGGGAAGGGAGGAGGCTAGCGCCACCTAGGGGCTGCGCTGCCAGGACTCCGCCTTCAGCCTGACCCTTCCCCGCCGTCCCCACAGCCCAGACCGCAGGTAAATGCTCACTTATTGATGCTTCAGAGTGGGCCCTGGCGAGACTCAGGACCTCCGCCCCATAGGAGCCCCTTCTCCCCTGGAGGTATCCATCCCCCCAGGACTGTCTGGAGAGCAGGGCTTTCTTTGCCTGACCAGGGTGTCTCCATGGTGTATGGGTCAGCGACTGTCAGCTGTGCCCGATCAGGGTGACTCCATGGTGTATGGGTCAGCGACTGTCAGCTGTGCCCGATCAGGGTGTCTCCATGGTGTATGGGTCAGCGACTGTCAGCTGTGCCCGATCAGGGTGTCTCCATGGTGTATGGGTCAGC